GAACACTGAAGTTCCTTGAAAAAAATCCTCAAGTATGTATGATAAACTTGTGGAAAAAGTCAGCTGTATATTAAAAAATATGTTTCTTTCACATTACTATCAAAAGGAAAAAAAAATTCAAGTCTGTATATTAGTAAAGTGAGTTCATTAAGGAGGACTGCTGCAATGGAAGAAGGAATCTTGGTGGCGCAGTGGTTAAGTGCTCGGATGCTAACTGAAAGGTCAGTGGTTTGAATTCACCAGCTGCTCTGCGGGAGAAAGATGTGGCAGTCTGCTTTTAAAGATTTACAGCCTTGGAATCCCTATGAGGCAGTTTTACTCAGTCCTATAGAGTCACTAGGAGCTCTGACGGTGTAGTGCCTAAGGCATTTGACTGCTAACCAGAAGGCTGGCAGTTCAAACCCATCAGTCACTCCACGGAAGGAAGGTTGGGCAATCTACTTTCGTAGTGATACCACCTTGAAAACCCAAGGAGTTGCTATGAGTTGGATCCGACTCAACGGCAGTGAGATAGGGTCACTGTGAGTCAGGATCAACTCGATAGCAATAGGTATTACAAATGGGAGGAGAGAAAGGGTGAAGGGGATGATGGTTCACAGGTAGAATCTTGCCTTGCATACAGGAGATGTGGGTTCAATTCTCAGCCACCTGTCTGTCAGTGGAGGCTTCTGTGTTGCTATGATGCTGAACAAGTTTTAGCACAGCTTCCAGACTAAGATAGGACGAGGAAGAAAGAAGATGTAGTTCTGAAAAATAAAAACCCTATGGATCACAATGCTCCAATCTGCAATCAATCCTGGGGGCAAAACAGGATCCGGTAGCATTTCATTTCGTGTGTGGTCACCATGAGTTGGAGGCTGACTCCACAGCAGCTAACAACACTGCAAAAGGGAGCCACTCAAAGCCTAACTAGAAATGTTTGAGGCAAGGGATGGGTAAATAAAGCTTAGATTTGCAGAGACCATGGGATAAACCAAAAACCCACTGCCATCGAGTCAATTCCACTTGTAATGACCCTATAGGGCAGAGTAGCACTGTCCCATAGATTTTCTAAGGCTGTCAATCTTTACTGAAGCAGAGTGCCTAATTTTTTTCTTGAGGAGCAGCTACAGTTGGTGGGTTTGAACCACAAACACTTTGGCTAGCAGCTGAATGCTTTAACCACTGTGCCACTGTTGTTGTTGTTGTTATGTGCCATCAAGTCAGACCCGACTCATAGCGACCCCTCCTTGGGTTTCCGAGGCAGTATCACTACCGAAGTAGATTGCCCCATCTTCCTTCCG